TTCAATAAAAATTCGTAATATGCTTCCACCTCCAATTGACCAATTTTCAAGTTATGATGAACTCCTTGCTCATGTTCGAGCCTTTGTTTTAACTCAAGGATATGCTGTAACCATAAAAAGAACTCGAACTGATGTAAATGGCAAAGTCAAGAATGTGACATTGTGTTGTGACAGAGGTGGCTCTTATAGAAATAGTTTGAACCTGACAGATGATTTACGTTGTAGGCAGACAGCATCAAGACTTTTGGATTGTCCATTTGAGCTCCATGGGACCAGACGCAATGGTGTTTGGTTTCTTGAGGTTCGCAATTCTGAGCATAATCACGAAGCATCAGAGGATATGTCTGGTCATCCAATTGCTCGCAGGTTGAACACTGAGCAACGAGAGCTAGTTCAGCAAATGTCTGCCGCTGGATCCCATCCTCGTGAAATTTTGTCAACCATTCATCAGAGTGATCTTTCTTCTATGGCCACATCTAGAACAATCTACAATACTTTGCATTCCATTCGTGAAGAAAGACTTGATGGTCGTACACCAATTCAAGCTCTTTTTGACAAATTACAAGAATCTGACTTCGAATTTGATTATCAACGTGACCATCAAAATCACATCACACACCTTTTTTTTGCACACAGGATATCCATTGCCTTGACTCGTACCTATCCTGTTGTATTACTTTTGGATTGTACATACAAAACAAACAGATATCGTATGCCTCTTCTAAATGTTGTTGGAATGACAAGCTTTAACACAACATTCTTTTCCTGCTTTGCCTTCCTGAAAGATGAAAAAGAAGCAGATTATGAATGGGCCTTGACTTGCATTTCAAAGATCTTTAATGGAATGTCTCATCCTAAAGTCATTGTCACTGATCGAGAATTAGCACTGATGAATGCCATTGGTAGAATCTTTCCTGGTGCTCATCATCTTCTATGTATTTGGCACATAAACAAGAACATTTTAGCTAAATGTAAACGTCACTTTGCTACAGAAGAAGATTGGACCGAGTTCATTGAATTGTGGAAGGCAGTTACAGCATCTATCACTGAACAAGACTTCACAACCAAATGGAATGAATTTTTAGAATGCTATGCGAGTAAGCCCAACGTCCTGCAGTATCTTCAAGAAACCTGGATCCTACATAAAGAATGCTTCATTTCTGCCTGGGTTGATCGTTACTTGCATCTTGGTAACAAAGCAACTTCACGAGTAGAAGGTGCACATGCTACTCTTAAAAAGTATTTGCAGTCATCCAGAGGTGATCTTGAGTCAGTACATCGTAAGATCATATTGCAAGTAGAGTCTCAAGCAAAGGAAATCCGTGCAATGATCTCTTCTGAACGTCTAAAAGTACAACATGTGTACCGTATAGCTCTGTTTGAACCTCTCTTGAGTCGTGTATCTGTTTTTGCCTTGAAAAAGATCCGTGACGAGTGGATCAAGGCATCAAATGCAACACTAGATTCTCCCTTGAATCCTTGCTCAGGGATCCTTAGCTCCACGATGGGTCTTCCATGTTCACATCTCATCAGTGAACGTATAGCAAACAGCCAAACATTGCAGCAAACTGATATCCATGAACACTGGTGGATCAAAGGTTGCCATTTTGAATTCTTAGGTGATCTTACACGTCCTGCCAATGGTGACCATGCTAATCTTCAGCTTCTTTTACAATCTTTTGCACAACAATACCAATTCTGGCCACCACACCAACAAGCTGCTGCTCGTACCCAGTTGGAAGAATTGTCTTCTGCTCCTCCTGATGTACTGGGAAACCCTGAAGTTAGTAGGCCACGAGGAAGACCAGTTGGAGCAAGAAACCAAAGCGAAGGATCAATGCAGAGAGATCCATCTGCATTTGAGCTTGTTGAAAGAAGGCCAAGGCAATGTGGTATATGTCGCCAAACTGGTCATAATAGCCAAACATGTCCTACTGTGTAAATAAATTTGTAAAAATAATTTTTTTCTTAGTAATGTAATAATAATAATAAATAAAAATGGTTTTTTTGAATTAAAATGTGTGACGTTTTTATTGGCTTATCTTTGTTCTTAGTCACGTGGGGGGTGCGAATAACAAAAATGGGGGGTGCGATTAACAATTCCCTTAATATATAATATGCTTATTATTATTATTATTAGAGATGATGTTGGTAATGCAAGTAATTATATATTAATATGTAATATGTATTATTATTGTTGTTAGAGATGATGTTGGTAATGCAAGTAATGAATGGTAATTATATATTAATATATAATATGTAATATGTATTATTATTATTGTTAGAGATGAATGGTAATTATATATTAATATATAATATGTTTATTATTAATAATACTATTATTATGAGAGAGAGAGAGTACTTTATATATTTTTCTCTCTTACACGATCATGTAAATTTTGAACATGTAAAATTTTTTCTCTCCAGTTGCACAATTGTGCAAAAATGTTTAACAAACCCTTCAACTTTTAACATAACAATATGTCAAAACAAGGTAACTTGATTTTTCTGGTTTTTTTGCAACAAACACAATAAATATATATTAATATATGTAATTACAATTAATTAGAACAACATTCATTGAAACAAGGTTTATTTAACTTTACATGCACATATTTGTAATGAATGAATATATTTGATTTATTAACTTTAAAATTTTTTCTTAAAAAAAAATAATAAGCACGACAAAATTTTTTGAATTATTAAAAAATTATTAAATGATATCTCCATACAGAAACCTGATACCATTTAATGTGATAAATTATCACTGCTCCCTTAGCAAATTGATTGATAAATTTATCAAAAAAAAACATGTATATACAATATAATATAATAATAAAAAATTCTAATCTATTTGGTCTAAAAACAACTTTTAAAAAATTACTTTTTTTTTATTCTAATACTAAAAATAACTTTTTGATTGACGCAAATAAACAATCTAATGCTCTACCAAAAAAATGCATAATGGAAGTATACCAATAAAAATATCAAAGTGGTGGTGGTGCATCATGTTGGTCTTCACTTTCTTCATCAGATAATATTAAACTATAAGTTCTTCCAGGAGTGGTGGAATTTGATTCTTCGTTGTCTATGTATGATTCCATTATTTTATAATAAAAAAAAAAGCATTAGATAATAATTTATATATAGTTTATTAAAATATAAAAATGTACCAATGTGATGAGATTTGAGATATTTTTTGAGTAGTTCTTCCGGTTGTATGTACTCTGAACAAAATGGTGTATCTCTCTTGCTGCTGAGGCATTTATCCTTGTTATGACCACTCTGCCAACATCTTGAACACGATAGTTTGTATGATGGGAGAATATTTTTGCATGATTTTTGCGTGTGGCCATAATACCCACATGCTCTGCATGGTTTAACAAAAGACACTACTGGGTGTATCCAATTATCCCTGCAATTCAACTCAACATCTTTCAATGTAAATATGTTTTCTAATTTGTTGAATGTTTGGAGTTTGAGCAGTTCATGTATGGACTTTGATTGATTTTCTGCTAATTTTAATAAACAATCAAATCTTTTTTCAAATTTATCGGCCATAATAACAATATTAATAAATCTGCATGTCAAAGTTGTTATGATTATCGTTATAATTATGATGCAGAGTAATAGATAGATGTTAATTGAACATATATGTATATATATATGTATGTAAAAACAATCCCTTAAAAATATTCCTTAAAAATATTCCTTAAAAATATTCCTTAAATATTTTGCACCATATTAGTATAACAAATATGTTACATGTGCAGGCCTCTCCCAAATAATTTATTATGTTTATATTTACCATACCCTCCTCCCACCCATTAAAAATATTATGTAATTATTGTAGGAATTTTATAAATAGAAATGACAAAAATAACTCTTGAAACTAGTGATGGGAATTTTTAACCCTACACTTAATAACTCCAAGTTATTAATAGTTAATAACCACTTATTAACTGTTGCACTCTGAGTGAGAGTTATTAATCCAAAAGATCCATTTTGTCAATCAATCCCAGTGTATAGAATTCAGCATGTGGAATGTGCTGTGCTAACCAAATTCAGCAGATTTGGAAAAAATTTATCAAATTTGGTTAGCATGCACACTCTGCACACTGAATTTTATGCACAGTACTAAATTAATTATTAACTTGTTTATCAAATTAATATTTGATTAAACAGTTACCAATAAGAGATCTGCATGTTTGTGTTTTTAACACTTAACAATAGAGTTATTAAGTACTTAATAACTTGGTCATTTTTCAAAATAATTTTTATGCCCATCACTAGGGGAAACAATCACGCAATATCAAACCAATTGATACAACACATTTCTGGTATATAACAAGCCAAAGAATCTTCCATTCCTAGATACCAAGCCATTGATGTTTTTGGTATAACAGGCCCTTGCAAGCCTTGTGTAATTTAGAATAAGCCATTGACATTTTTGGCATATAACTCAAATTGCCATCCAATTGTGTTTCAGACATGTGATCTACCTTTCATTTTATTTATTTTTATTCTTATATTTAAAATCAAATTAGCAGAACAAAAATAATTAATTTTAAAAGAAAAGATTAACAATTATAGTATCCAAATGAACTTATAATCTTTAAAAGTTGGACTAAAAAAAATTTCAATTGGTAATTTAAACCATGTTATCAAGTTTTGATACCATAATAAAAAATGCTGTAAAGGTCAATTAATTTAATTGTATAATGATAAATAGTTTACAAAAGGATCAATAATTTATTGTTTTTCAAGAATAGCAATATTCTATACTTGGTGATGATTTATTATTATTCAAATGATTGATTTTAAACTATAAATACAAGGTATTTTTGAATCAATCCATTTTTCCAACAATTCAATCTCCAATTATAACATTACAAAAAAATTTCATCCCTCTTCATATATTTTTATTATTAAATACAATATATTTTGGAATCAATCATTTCTCCAACATTCCAAAAAAAATTTCATATATATTTGTAAATATTTGTTATTTATTAATTTAACATTAAGTTAAGTTTGGATGGAAAGTCTGTGTTCAGTTTATTACAAAAAGTCTTGTCAATCTTGACAAAAGAAATACAAATAAGGGAATTGTTTGCATAAAAAACTTCGACC